TCAATACCATGAAGTTTCCTTGTTCAGTATTATTTGTTTTCCTGAGAAAGGAGACCTTTCCTTTGCACCAGCAGATCACTTGGAATAAAGGAACTTGCTCTCAAATTTCCCACTGAAATGTGAGAGCGCTCAGGCCAGTCAGGTGCCTGGGTGTCGCTGGCTTTTTCTAAGCCTCCTCACAGATCACTTGACACTTGCACTATTGATTTTTATCCATTTCTTTCCATTTTCCTCCACACTCCCCTATAAGACTAACCACAACAGTTGGAGCTACTGTTCTGTAATTGAAGACAGAGGAACACATCAAACTCTGGGAAGGTGAGAGAACAGACAGCAGAAATGAAAGCGGTAAATCTCTAATGTTCCCATCTCCAACCAATTAATCCCAGGGCATGTATTTGTTTTGGGAAAGTGAATCAACTGTTGAATGATGACCTCCTGAAGGTTTAAAAGCCAATTTTGTGAAGAAGAGGGGAAAAATAAGAAAAGAATGCCATATAGTGTCTAGTGTGACATCTAAGACTTAACTCTGTGCTAGCCACGGCACTATCCCCATTTCATCTACCACCAAAAAAGACCTTGCACCTTCCAGAGTTTTGCTTCTGAAGGCCTGGCAAAGAAAGGAATGACACACTAGTCAAATAAGATAAATGCAGAATGCACATGAATAGGGAGGGGACCAATGAGCTGCAATTTCAGTCATGTCTGCACCAGGTATAATGCTTTGCCAAGTAAAGGCACAGATACAAGACCCATCACAGCTGCCTCTGCATGTCACACAGGACTGAAACAAGTGGAGAATCAAGTAAATGGGAAAAAAAAAAAAAAACCAGCATGCTGAGATAAGCTTTTATGGAAATGATATCACCTCTCTGATTCTTCCTGATGCACTTTGAAAGGAAAACTGCTGTCAGCTTGTTGAGAATAAGCAACTACGACAAATGGCCAGTACTGCTTGTTTATGTTAAACAGATTCCCTCTACCACCATTTCAAAAAGAGGAAGATAATCCTGTCTGTTCAGCCTCCTGTGAACAGTGATTTAGAAACATTGCTGCATGAGTACCTTGAAGTGAGTTGCTATCACATATCTTCCTCAATTAACACTATTGCACAGATATCCCAAGGTAAGGCTACATGGAAACACCTATTAAATGGATATACTCTTACATGTACTTCCAACTAATCAATCACGTTTTCCACTAGGCAAATCTTCACCTACAGCAATCCTGTTTGGGGAAGCTCTGCTCCTAGAAACACTCCCAGAAACCCTAAGCCAGGATGTCAACGTGCTCCTCATCACCAGCTCTCTGCCTCCCCCAGATCAAGTGTAATGCAAGTCACAACACCTTCTGTCAGCTCAGGTGGACCCAGAAGTGCCCCAGCAAGATGCCTCACACAGTTGATAAACCTGCCCTTTTGCTCTTCAGTGTTTGGGCTGGCAAAGCTGAGCTGGAATAAGTGAAATCCACACCAGAAATAAGGTGTGGACCAAGTCTTTGCATCAGTCAAAGCACTTCTAGTACAGTCATGGCCAAGGGGTAATCATGGAATTGTTGCCAAGTCACAGTGTACTCCAAGCTCAATGGAGCCATTAACTATCCCACAAACAGAGCATTACTTTTATCATTTTCATCAGGCACATCAAAACACAAGAAAAATGTGGTGCTTCAGCAAAACAAGGCAAAGGAGATTGGATCAACAACTTGCTAATCTGGATGATGTATTTAAGGTTTTTTTTCTAGTTTTGACAATGGATCCTACATGCTACCAATGCAAACAGTAATTCATCTAAATATATATGAGAGTAACTTCGTTCAAGTTTTAAAATCTTGATTTTTCTTAAGCAAAAGACACAAACATTCTAAAATAAAGTCTCTGACCCAGCATGTGAATTTTACAGCAAAATGAGAGTCTGAGGAAGAAAGTCATCAAGGAAATAACATACAGTTGTGGTTCAGCTGAAATAAAAGCTAGTTCAGTGGCTGAACTACATTAACTCCTTCAAAGATTTGTCCACTGCAGCATGGCTTTATAACCACTTATGCATCATCCAAGTACATAAATGAGGTGTCCTGCCTCTTCCTTACTCTGTCTTGGTCCTAGCTTTTGATGCTCAAGTTGTGAATTCAGAGGAGAATGCTTTGGGTCTGTAAATAAACACCGTGGGTTTGGTGTGATAGTAACAGCAGAGCCACTTGCAACTCACAACAACCAAACTTGGAGGCCACCTGGAATCTTGTCACAGCTGTTGTTTACTACAGAACGTGGCAGAAAAGAATCAACTCAGTGGGGAGCTGAGGACTCAGAGGAAGTGCCAGAGGGGCAGATGGCACTAAGGAGCAGGGGAAGACTTTGGTTTGCAAAAACGCATGTAGTTCACCTATTTATTTCAATAATATGTCACCTTTGGGTCCATCTCAACATCTCATTTCTTTATGATAGTTACCACATTTAGAGATCAAATCCTCTGGTCTCTCAGAAAACCATCCCGTGTCACCCCTACAGGCAATGCTCACATGGCCTTTGGGAGCTGACATCATCTCTCAGTGGTTCACCAGAAAATAAATCGAACTCTTAAAACCATCTCTCCTAAAGAAAAAAATCGAAATGATGCTTAAGAGTCTGTCATTGTCATATAAAATAACAAGGTTGAGTCAAACTTGCTGGATCTTTCCTCCCCTCTGCTTGACCTCTGTCTTCTCCACAAGCTACAGCCCTGCCTTCACTCTGTCCCTGAGTCAGCCAAGCACACAACCAGTGTCTGTGTGAGAAACAGAAACCCTCTGGGTTTTCTCACTACCTGTACCAAACCAGTCAGAGCTGAACCACATGGTATTCGTACCAGAATTTCTGCAGGAAGAACTGGTAAATGTCACCTTTCTCCATTTTGCATTTACTAATTATCACTTCGTTTAGCCCTTATATCAGTGCAATAAAAAGCAGCTGTCGGGCCAAGCATGCTCAGTCCAAGTGACCTTGTGTTCTCGTTTGTGTTTACCACATAATCAGCAGGGAATTCCATTTTCAAAATACAAGGCTTCATAATCCATTAGCACTGGAGATTGGTCCAGGGCTCTGGATTTACTGGTCACATGTACCAAGGAATAAAAATATGAGCGTACAGCCAGATTAATCTCCAGACTTGTAAAGCATCCCCACCCACCGTCCGTGGGTCAGTCTCATTCAAAGTCACATATGAATATTAGCACAATTCTTAAACACCACTAATGCCCTTCTCACAGTACATGAAGAAAAAATTAAATGCTACCTGCCTGACAACTCAGAAGGTACGAAGACACACAATAACTAGCACCATTCTCAGATTTTCCACTTGTTTCATAAGTGGAACATAAATACTGATGCTCCTGTTCATACACCAACAACCCATATCTCCCCCAGCTGTTTCTAAAAGGCAGGAATCACTTTCACTGCTCTTAATTTTAAATCAAAAGTCTTTAGCAAGTCCAAGCAGTTTAACTCACCATCAAGTTCAATAAATCAAATAAAAGAATCAATGGAAAGCATTTTAAAATGTAACCTTGGCAGCGTGTAAAATGCTCCCCCAGAACTTACACTCATTTGCTTTATTTGCTGCTTTAGGAAATGAAATATAACACATAGGCAGAAGGACATTGGTATCAAAACATTGCATCTCCCAAGCCTAACACTGCACTTGCTCTCCTGGAAGGCACTTTTTGCACTGTGCTTTAAAAATCTGCTGCCTGGCAAGTTAGGTGATTGAAAAATAATCATATTTCACGTTGACAAAATGGAAAATGGAAGTGTTCAATAGGAAATTATAATTCATATTTATTCTTTATGTCCACGCACAGCACTTTAAACCTAATTTGTTTCACGCTTTCCACTGATAAAATGAGAATAAACTCAATGGTGTTATAACAGCATCTGCCATTTGAAGAATCAACATTTATCAGTGTTACCACCCAATTTTAACTGTGGTCTTACACAGCTCTTCTGTATGCAGCACTCAGACTGAAAATGGCAATTACTCTGTGCACCATTATGTGATATTTGTTGGCAAATACTCATTTTTGAGTTGCAACATAATTATTCAATATTTATGCAAGTCTACCAGGATAAACAATCTCCGATTCACACAGAGAGAAAACTTCAAGATACTTTGCTGCTCATCTCAGTATCCCATAACTAAGATGTTTACTAGTTCTTATCCCATCCCGATCTCAAAGGTGTGCCATTATTCCCACAGCTCATCCAAGTTTAGCAGAAAAACCTTTTCTTTACAATAGTGTCCCCCGGCAGCTGGAGAATGTCAAACAGAGAGGAAACAAAGTAGGATCACTCTCCACACTTTGTATGTCTTCCCAAAATGCCAAGGACAGTCTCATTTTGAGTAACGATTCTGACCTTCTAAAGATTACCACGCTCCAGACTTCTCAGGTTTTCTCCTGCTTGGGTTTTTTGAGTGAAAGTGAACATTTTTTTTCTCAGCTTTATTAATTTTTGCTGCTTATCTCCTGTGTGAATCGAGGACAACCTTCCATCAGTGGCAGTTGTCTGCTACAAAGGCACCCAGCCATAAAACACTGTTCAATTCTACTAGTTAAATAAGCATCAGAAATAAAGTTCTGTTAAGGAAACAAAAATAGGAGCAGGTTTTTTTATTCATAGGTTTCAAACCAATAAGGAACATTCACCATCATGATATTAATATAGACTACTTCTATGGCAAGCACTCACTTTATGGCAGCTTTTTTAGGGTTTTTCTCAAAAGTTGGCATCAAGGGCTTGCATCAAACCATCAGCTGTTCCAAAAAGGCAATCAAAAAAGCAGAGTTCAGGGATGAGGCATTTTCCTTTTCAGCTCTACCTGAACCCTATCTGCTGCCATACATGGAAGTCTGCCCAAGCTGAAAACAGTCCCCCCCAGAGCCATGCACACCACCACAGAAAGGCTCCTCAAAAATAAAGATGGAATTCAACTCTGCGTAGTCCACCAGGCCGAGGTTTTGTTACTTACAAGGCACAGCATGGCGATAAAGGTTGTCTCTAATAGTCTGCTGCAAGTCGTGATCCGGTGATCCTTTCTGAAACCTCTGGTTGAGATAATGTCGCAGATCTTTGTTCAGTCTGTTTCCTGCAAAGAAAAAACAGCCACTTATTTATTTCTAAATGCACACAATTAACATTTCCAATTGAGGCAAATGTTAGATTTCCATTCAGAGTCCCCTAAATTATGGCATGCTGACTTTACGAGCGGAGGCTCATCTTCCTCTACAAATGGCTAATTACCAAAAATAACTCGATGTAAACAAGAGGTCTCTCTTGTCTCATAATGCATCTTTCTTCCTGTGGTGTTAAACAGATCATCATTCCCTTTTATTACTTATTTGTCTGAGCAAATGGAAAAAGACAGATGATGGGAAAAAAGAAAAATAAAAAAGGTAGAGTACTGCTTTTGCAACTCACTGGAGGGTGAGTTGGGCAGACAGACAGAAGGCAAAAGCTGCTCCTACTGGAGGTACAAATAAAGCTGAACATGGCACAAAATCAAACAAGTGCTATCCTTTGTATTGGTATCTACTACAGCCCACAGCAGGAGTTAGAAAAGAATTGACAGAAGGAGTTAAGAGCACCCAAAATCCTTAAAAAACAACAAAAGAGTATCCAATGCTTTTCACTTTAATGTCTTTATTCCCTCATTCAGTTTTGAACACTTTCAGAAGTGTGCCAGAATAAGATAAATGAGTTAAAAACAAAACAACCAAAAAAAAAATGTAGCTGGTAATGATCATTGCCAGTTGCTGAACACCAAATCCTTTCTTGTAACAGCTTATACAAGCTGAAGAAACTTAATGAAGTCTTTCCTCCTGAAATATTTCCAAGATGGGAATAGGGAATAACACTGACATTAATTTGACTGAAGAGCAAAAACAGGGATAGAAACTCTTCTGTTCTAAAAGGAAAAGAAAAAAAAAAACACTGGAAAATCATCTGAGAAATGCAACCAGGATGATCAAAGCCAGGAGCAGTTGCAACACAAGGACCAAGTGAGGTCCTGGGATGCTCCAGCCTGTTGCGGACATCGACTTCCAACACATCCTGAGGTTAGCTGGGGACTGGGCACTCCCTGCCTCTCCCAGCACAAGGACTGGGAGACAGCAAGCAAAGCTAAGGGGAGCCTGGTTCAAAATCAGGCAGCAGGGGCAGTAGTTCACACAGGCTGTGCAGATCCCACTGGAGAGCACTTTCATACAACAAGGTTATTGAGGAGACTCAAGGGGAAATGAAAAAGACAGACCCATAGGGGGGTTGCAAAATCATAGAAAGGGTTGGAATGGATTTAGAATGGGTTGGAAGGGGCCTTGAAGAACATCTTGTTCTCATCCCCTGCCATGGGCAGGGACACCTTTCACTGGACCAGGTTGCTCAATGCCCCATCCAACCTGGCCTTGAAAAGAAGAGGGTAGGAAATCCCTTGAGCTGAAAATAATTGCCGGTGGCTGGGGAACCTGGGAAAGAAGTGAGGGAATATCAAATATCTTGCTCTTTTCCTTTCCTTTGCCAGGCATCCTAATTATGGTCTCAGCTGGAGCCAAAATGCTGGACTACATGGACCTCAGGCTGAACCACTGCAGCTGTTTCTATGGGTTTTTATCATTTGCATTATGATTTTTTTTGGATTATTGAATATGTAATGCAGAGATCATCTCAATACTTATGGACACTGAACACAGCACCACAGTTGCAGATGAATCACTGCAGAGCAAATCAAGAATAATAATACTGCAATAGAGTGCAGTTGGACGGTGGGTCTGGAGCTGGCAGCAGCACCAGGCAAATGGTGACATGAGCAAGTGTAAACTGCTATGTGCCCATGGACAGGATCAGCCTGCCTGCCCACTGCAGCCCTGCAATATTTCAACATAAATGTTGGTTTAAAAACAAAACTAGACACAAAAAAAAAAACCCTCCGTAGTCTGCAGTACTAAGTCAAATTTTAAAAATAACTACGTGATTTGTATTTAGGTTCTCCTGACAGCTTTTCCTTTTAATTAAATCTCTTATTGAAGAAAGGAAGGCTCAGGCAGCTATTAATAGAAGGCACATTTTTAAAGACCAAGATGCTCATTACAGAAACGGCTCAAACAACAAAACTGAAATTAAAGAAGATGTAATTGGCTCAACACACTTTCCTGAGTGACCCCAGCAATATCCCTGACTCCAAGAGCAGATTATCTACCCATTTCCTAACAAAAGGTCTCCAGTTATTACACCATAAAACCAGTTTCCTACATAGAAGGCACCTAGAGGGGTTCATAGACCTGTGGGCTACAGTTTTTCAACATCAGAGCTGACTTTCCAAACCCCAGATGTTTCATACCCCGTGGTTTTACTCCAGAGGGAGACTGGGCACAACAGAGAGAGCATCTGCTGAAATAATAAAGCAGTTCTTTATCTGTTAACTAAACACTCCATATTTTAATTTGCACAAGGAAGAGTAAGACAAGGTGGTTTTTCATAGCAAAAAAAGGACAAATATGATAAACAGTCTGGACAAAAGGCAAGTGTTTATTCCAGTGGAGAAATTAATGCACTGAACTGCATGTATCATATAACAAACTTTCTCCCAAAATACTGTGTGATCCCCTGATTCAATGACTTATGTCACAATAATATCTTGAGGTGAAAAGGCTCTGCTGAGTTAGGGCTTGTTTGATCACAGAAAATATACAATTTACTGACGATATCTGCTTTTAGCTTCCCTCTGTGCCCATTCCATCTAGCATCTCAGTCTATTATGGCCCCACTGGAAAGTTTGGTTATTTGGTTTATGCAGTAGCTGGGATTTCCCAGCTGAGTCACTGAAGCACTAGTTTAGAAGGCAGTTGCAAAAACAGGGGCTCTAGAAATACTTACACTCACATGAGTGTCCCGCCAGGGAGCTCACAGTGATACTTATTTCTATTACATTTATTTTAAGTGGGAAGAAAAAAAAAAAAAAGAGGAAAGAAAAAAACCCAACTCCCAAAAAGCTTGCTAAGCTACATTGCTGTTGCTAAATTCCAGAAAAGTCTTGACAGGAATAAAGGCTTCTTGCAGCCCTGATGATCTCTGTTCTGCAGTGGCTGAAACCATAGCTGTGGGCACAAGCAGGTTCACCCCACTCAGCTCAATCCACTGCATGGCAGAAGAAAGTGAGCTTACACAGAAACTAACTCTATGTAGAAAGGGATCCACCCTGGAACACGTTGAATTCTTTACCATTTCAAATGTTTCACTCCACTCTGATCTTTCCCAAAAATCTCCTCGAAGCTGAGAGGGCATTTGCTTGGTATTGGCATTATTTAGTAGGTTCTAGTGGTAGATGGAAGTTTATGAACAGAGCCTAAAATGTATGCACCCATAATCCCTGAGAACCTGAGAAATATGCCAGTGACATTTCAGCAACCTCCTCTGTGCAAATCATAGCAGCAAAATTCATTCTTCTGATCCTCAGGGGCCCCACTGGCTTGTGCAAACTCATCCCGAGAACAAGCCTCACCTTCTGATGGCTTCTGTCCACACACCAGCCACCACCAGGCTGGGTGGATGGGCAGACACCCAGAACCACCTGCCTTTATGCAGTTTGTAAAATCTAAATCCACGTGTCAGTTGTGCTCAAGAAAACACCTGGTACCAGTTTCCTTAGAGATGAGCTGTGTTAACCAGAAGTACACACTGCCCTTCAAAATACTCCTCTGTTCTCATGGAGACTGGGTTTTACATTTACTCTTTTTTGAGATCCATTCTTCTCTGCTAAAAGCATGTGAAGAGGTCCAACAGTGATGATAATGGAGGAACAAGAGATGCAACCCAAAACCAGCAGTTTTCCAAAGCAGAGGATACAGCTCTGAAGACCCATTGCTCAGCTCTCCCTGCTGGCCAGGACAGGCTAGAAATCACTTTGTTATTTCTGCAATCAAAATTAGGCTAATATATGTAGCTTTAGAAAATGAGACATAAAAAAAAAAAAAAAAAAGCAAAACTCATCAAAATTTACAAACTTTTGTAAGTAAAACATGTGCAAAGGTTTTTGTTGCTGTTGCAACAATTTCCCTTTTTTTCCTCACTGAACAAAACCAATGCCCTTTTTTCACGTAAAGATCCAGTCAGAGATCCAGCTTTCCACTGCTTCTCTCCCCATAGCACTACTGCAAATTTGAGGTGTTTCCATCTTATTATCTGAATCCTTCCTTACCTTTGAATGAAACAAAGAGCACCTCATTAAATGGCTGGTTTTCTCAGCTATTCTTAATTATTATACTGTATTTTAGAGAATGACAGTCATCCTCCCCCACCACTACATCGCAACAACAATATTTTAGTAGTAAAAAGAAACTCAAGAGGGAAACATCTGTCATAGAAAAAAAAAAATATTTACTGACATATGGTTTTCTGAGAAACAATAAACCCTGCTTGTCAGTTTTCTGTAGCTCAAAACGCACCTTAGATGGTTTTGTGATTAATGAAATATATTGACTTCCTCTAAGCACATTCTTTTCAAACCTGCAATTCTGTCACACATTTGTCCTCCAGCAGTTACCTGATATAAAGTCACTAAGGAAGCTGTGCTCTGACACTTACTGCTACAGTTTCCACTTTCTGCAGCAAGAAAGCTGCACGTGGGATCATCTAGCACCGCCTTCGCTCTGTGAGAACATCCTCTCTTTGAGATCAATCCCACCACCGAGCAGCAGCACAGACCTGGGGGCCAAAAGCCTCTTGCCTTATCGATATCTAGGCTTCCAATAAGGAAAGCAGACTGCATAAGTGACCAAGCAAAACCTGAATTTTTTATTTTTTTTTTCCCAAGGAAAAGCTGAGTGTGAACATCGCAAGGCTGCCAGCACCTTCCTGCCAGCTGGTGGATTGACTTGCCAGAACTGTGCAATATGTGTATTCTGAAGATATATTTTTAACTCATGTTTTGTGCCTTTGGAAAGTATCATTTTATAGTTTATATTAATTACTGCAGCTGTTTTATCCCATTTTTGTTTAGAGATGGCCATAGATAATCCTGATAAAGAGCCATACTCTGACAGAGCCTATAGATGCTCGTGCGAAGATGGGTCAGGGTCAAGCCCGGGACACACT